CTTTTGCAAGATGAAGAAGCCGAGGCCGATGACTTCATGAGCAATGCTGACTTGATGGAAGATGATCTGTCAAAGAGTCTTACTTTCGTTGGGGGACTCTACAATTCACAACCCTTACCGACTGATGAGGAAATGGGTGACAGCCTTTTGGCAGAAGACGATCTCAGCGCTTTGGCCACACCGCCTATAACTCGCCAACGTGGCGATCGAGCTCTCCTTGAGAGCTTCCAGGAGAAGCACGAAGTCACTCAAGGAGAAGAAGCGTTCGATTTTGACGGCGACTACTTCGGAGGGTCAAATATCGAACCAAAGGGTAAAGCCCGTAAATGGGATTCTGCCAAGAACCAATATCATCCATCCAATGAGTTCAAGGTTACAGGCGCTCCACTAAAGGTACGCGTCCGCGACGTCAACGTAATCTGGAACTTATACGACGGCTATGACTGGCCTCGAACACGCAGCGTTATCAGCAAAGCTGTGGATGACGTTGAGGCTCGCGCCGAGGAGCGACGGCATAAGGGACGAGAAGAGGATGACGACGATGACTTCGTTGAGCAAGACTTCCTCTTCAACTCGGTTTGGATTGGTGTGGATGTGAAGGACGAGAAAGGAGCTCTAGCCCGACGTATCAACCATGATATTGACGATCTTGCCAGCGAGACGGGCAGTTACGCGACGTCAACAGCGACACGCTCGACTGGAGCTACTCTACGGCCTCGAAGTACTACCAAATCTAGGCGTCGTCTCAAGCTCGAGCGTAGTAAACACAAAAAGATTGCATTCTCCCTCAGCGGGGTCGCAGTTGATCTTGTCGTCTTTCCGCCGGATACAGGCGAGACGGTCAATTCCGTTAATGTCCGCGTACGAGATCTAGAGGTTTTCGATCACATGCCCAGCTCTACCTGGAAGAAATTTGTCACGTGCGCAATCGATCCAGCGAAGAGAGAGCTCATTCGTCCGATGATAAATCTTGAACTCAATACGGTCAAGCCGATCACTGATCTAGCGGCTTCGGAGCTCGTCATTAAAGTAAGTCTTGATGCATGTTGAACATCCCAGCTCTTGCTAATTTGATCGTCAGGTGTCTATCCTTCCACTCCGCTTGCATATCGATCAGGACGCTTTGGACTTTATCACGCGTTTCTTTGAGTTCAAAGATGATTCCGCACCCGCTAGCAGCCCAGCTGGTGACCAGCCTTTCATTCAGCGGTTGGAAGTGATGGCGGTTAAGCTGAAGTTGGACTACAAGCCAAAGCGCGTGGACTATCGCGGCCTCCGGTCCGGCCACACAACGGAGTTCATGAATTTTCTCGTCCTCGACGGCTCGGACATTACCTTACGCCACGCAATTCTGTACGGAATTACATCGTTCGACAAACTTCACAAGACTCTCAATGACGTGTGGTCACCGGATGTCAAGAACAATCAGTTACCAGGCGTACTATCGGGGCTGGCAGGCCTGCGACCTTTTGTGAATGTCGGTTCCGGCCTCAAAGACCTCATCGTTGTTCCAATGCGCGAGTACAAGAAAGACGGTCGAATTGTGCGCAGTCTGGGGAAGGGTGTACACGCATTCGCTATGCACACAACGTCAGAGGCGGCACGTCTGGGTGCGAAGGTGGCGATCGGCGCGCAAACTGTGCTGGAAGGCACTGAGGAGTTCTTGAACCCACAGACTGCCTCATCGAGCCGCCATCAATCCCTCGACTGGGATGGCGAAGATCCCAATTCCGACACAGAAGAGCCACGCGCCGTATCGAACTACGCCAATCAGCCGATCGGTGTGGGCGCTGGTCTTCGCAGCGCGGTCCGGCACTTCGAACGCGACTGGAACACTGCTCGTGACGCAGTAATCGCGATTCCTGCATCGGTCATGGAAGAGGGTAGCGGCACGGGTGTCGCAAGGGCCTTCCGTAGACATGGACCGACTGTCGTCTTGCGACCTGCAGTTGGTTTTACGAAAGCGGTGAGCAATGCGTTACTAGGCGCAGGCAATGCGCTTGATCCCGAATCGAGGCGTAAGATTGAAGATGTAAGTGGTGCTACTATACTAGTGGTGTGAACAGAACTGACATTTGTGCAGAAATACAAATCTTACTAGCGACCAGTCCTCGTTAACACGAGTATGAAGCGAAGTAGCAGGCCATCTCTGCTGTAGGCTATTTGTTCACGATTTAGTGTTTCTCTTCACTTTTCTTCAGAGCGTTTGCATAGCGACGGACGGAGTTTGTGTGGTGAAGGCGTCGCATTTCCAGCCTTTTGCTATGCCGTTGGCACTGGGCAGGCGTTGTCACACATTTTGACATTCTGATCTTTCGCTGAATACCACTGAATTTCCTTTAAAGTGTATATAATACTAGATTCCAAGCCGCAGAACGTGCTTTGTGTAGAACACTGTCGCTCGCTCCTGTACATGCTTTCCAAGGCTCCCATTCTGATGTTGTCTTTCCCGTTAATCATGAGCCTTCCGGACCCATACTCCGTCCTTCTGGTATCAAGGGCGTGATCATACCCTTGGTAGGTGAGTACCTAACTATGCATCTCTGCTACCGAACTAACAGCGCCATCCCCGGACTGGCCTGTCCCAAAGCCTGTTCCCCGTCCCATTGCGCACGCCGCCTCGTCTCTACCTCACGGGCGGCACGTCGGTCTCGAAGAGGCAGGGTATCGATTCGGTCGTCTTCGCAGCTACGACGTGTCATCTCGCAGAACTTTTCGTTTTCGGGTGAATCCATATTAATCAAAAAGTCGACCTTGCGACGGGAGATGTTGAGGCTCATGGTGACGTTTCTGGTACTTGATGTGAACCTGGTCAGTTGCTGTCGAAGCTCCCGAGCGCGGGGACGCCTCACATACGTGAGAAGTTACAGTGGAACGTGGGGATTTAGCTCAAAGTAATGTTTGGTCTTGTGTCACCCCGGTTTGATATTGTGGTTTTGGTTGGGATGATAGTGAAAGCTTCTAGATGTTTCGGCGGGAGAATAAACTCCGCTCAGGTAGTTTTATTGCAAATCCGGCCGTGGGTAGATTCGTGTGCGGTTCGAAGTGGAGAGATAAGGCACGCAGGATTTATGTGGAGGGGCGGCTGAGGCCGCCCCTCAAACTTGACCGCAGTCAAGGTGCATGAACTCCGCCACGTTTGTGTGACCGGCACCATAAATGCATGGGCTGAGCTCATCCGAGCTTCAACTTGCTCCCCGACACATCTGTCGAATTACTTGCGATCACCTAGGTCATCTAGGTAACTAAGGATCCTTTGGTCTGGCCTGTTTACTCCGCCTTCATACATGACCGCTTCATTGTCACCTGGGTACGGCACATGATATCGAACCAAAACGGTCGAGGCTCAAGCACAGCCACAACATTATGGCCCCATCTACCTCGCATCTCGCTATCGATCTCGCAGACGTCAGAAATGGCTATCCATCGCTAGCCAAATGGATCGCTCGAGATCCTGACGATGAGCCGCTTGTTTTTCGCAAATTCGGGGTACTTGCAGCGCGCAACATATTGTCGCTGCAATGCCAGATGGTGACACTTGAAGATGAGATCGAAGGTCTAGAATCTGAGATCAGGCAGTCAGCCGATCTGGACACCCGCCGGTCGCTTCAGCGGTGGGAAGTATTGTGCGAAAGGGCGATACCCGGTTCCAACAGCCTCGAATTGCAGCTTCAAGTAAAACTCAAAGAATTGCAGGGGTTATTGAAAGAATACTGTTGGTCTCTTCATCACATCTTGGGCTTCATGCTGATTCATTGGCCAGACGAAGCGCTGACCTTGCGCGCTCAAGTCGCCCAACTCGGTAAACCCAGTCAACGAATCTTGACCACCTATACGGACTATCTTAACGGAACCGCGATTCGAAACATGCCGGCCTCCTCGAAGAAGCTGATTTTTGGTCGCGCGAGCAAGTTTCTGGAAAATACACAAGACCTGGTGGCTCTTCAGAAGCCCTCCAACCAAGATTATCTATCTCGATCGCTGAGGAACCACTGGCTCTTCACCAAGCATTCACCACGCGAGGAACTCGACAGATCAAACAGATATAATGACACACTCGTCGCACAGGTTGTGGCCGCCATAAGCATGGTGCTCGCTGCAGTTTTGCTAGTTGGCGCGATTGTTAGTCTCTACTTTCTGAGCAACCCAAACGCAAAGCTGGGGCTCATAGCCGTATACACATTGCTATTTGCACTGAGTGTGAGGCTTTGCACTAACGCAGGACGAGCAGAAGTCTTCGCTGCCACTGCTGCGTATGCTGCTGTATTAGTAGGTTCGTTTCGCCCTTTACGAGACCTTGTGGCCTTATGCTAAATATGCGCAAAGTGTTTGTGAGCGGCGATTTCGGTGGCAGCAATAGTGAATGTTTTATACAGCTCGAAGGAGGACTCTGGAAGACTGTGAGCTGTCCCTAGGAGGTGGATCCGGCTACAGGGAGTGAGCTGAACACTACTTAGCCTATATGCTTTGTTGTAATGCGAGTTGTGGGCTTCGACGTGTTCAGCGTCCAGTAAGACCCTGAATTTCAAATTGAAATCTGACAGGCGTGCACGTGCCAAGACGCGAAAATTGTGCCACCAACACACGTAGATGTGCTAGATAAGAAGCGCGTGCGCACATTTCGCCATCCAACGCTTTATGACGTTAGTTCCGGCAGCGCATAGAGTCGCGTTTACAAGAGCGGGTGACGCGTACTTGAGTGGGAGGAGACCAACAAGAACCGATTACTGATCCCGAGGCTGGCCAAACACCATATAACAGCAGCCTGGTTGTGCACGCACGACGTGTACAGCTACCCGGTCCAAGGTCTTTTCACGTTCACGTTGCACATGTGTTCGAGAACAATCATCCAAGGCAATCAACAATGGGGCATGAGTTCATTAACATCGGGATGCTTTCTAAAGCCGGAGAAGAATCCGTGTGAAGAACACGACCGTCGGGTGTGGCATCTCGAATTCGTACAGAACCATCAATGCTTTGATGATCCGGTTGGTGCAGCTCTAGTAAGTATACCTGAAGCCTTTCTGGTCGCCATCCTGTACGTACGTTAATATCTTGCCACATGTGTAGAAGGTTGAGAAGACATACATCATTGTACTCCAGTTCGAGCTCACCACGATCGGCACGCTTGTTCAAGCTCCAGGATCTCAGTGTTATGAGGATGACAATGACGATTGTGAGCAGGCAGCACGCAATGCAGGCGTACAGTCCTGGCTCGTATCCGGGCTTGTCTTGTTCCCTACTCGACATTAGAATGGCACGGTCGATGGAATGCATTTTGCAGATACATACCTGAAAACGAGACCTCCAGCGATACCACCAACACCACCCATGCCGACCAAGATGGCAGAACAGAACGCGCGCTTCCACTGGCCTCTGATATTGTTCGCCTGGTATGACATCGTCGCGGGAATGTTGCTATTTGCGCCAGCGGTGGTCAAGAAGACGCCGAAGTACCTGACGTTCGGGTTGGAATGGAAACCCATGATGGGCAGTCCAACAAGGCAGAGAACCATGTTGAACAGGATGATGGGTCCGCGAAGGTGGTATTTGTCTCCAAGCCAGCCGGTGGTGTACATGACGATGGCAGCAAAAGCGTAAGGAGGAGCAACGAGGCACTGGGCAGCGCCGGTGCTGAAACCCATGTTCAATGTTAGGATGATGGGCAGGAAGTATGCCAGTGCGTATGTGACTGTGGTGGTGTTGAAGAATATCTATACACGTCAGCGAATGGGGGGTCATTGGAAATCTTGGGGCGTACCATCGCGAAACCCCAGATTTTGATGTCAGCACCACCCTTGAAGAACTTGGCCATGGACCATGGCTCTGGCCTAGCATCACCACGATCCCTGTTGACGCGGTCGATGATGAACATGGCTTCACGCTCAGTCAGGAAGTTCCATGACTTATGCGCCTTGTCAGGGAAATCAACCAGAGCCCAGTAACCGACGATACCAAGGAAGCATGTGAGCGCGCCTTCGATGATGAAGATCCCTAATTGGAAGATGCAACGTCAGCAGAGTCGCATGAAGGCGTAACCGGGCGATGACTTACAGCGCCAACCGTTCAGGCCCTGCTGTCCCTTCAGTTGCATCAAGCCGTAAGCGAGGATACCGGCGCAGGCAGATGCCAAACTTCCAAGGATGTAGAAGCATGAGTATCGCTTTCCGATATCAAATCGAGTATCTGAGAGGGGTTTTAGCAAATTGTGGCGATCCAAGGGCCAGCATGATCTTACACCAGGTGGACAGCAAGTAGACACAGCTCGGGAAAAAGCCAGCTTCTAGGATTCCCAGGAGGACTCGTAGCGCGGACATGGTACCGTAACTATCGGCAAAGCCCATGCCAATCATGACACCGCCCCACAGCACAACGATAGCCGATAGGAAATTGCGAGGTCCGAGATAACGACAGATGACGGTTGCCGGGGGTTGGAAGACGATGTAGGACGCGAAGAATACGATGGTGACGATGGAGTAGCGTGAAATTGAGCCCTCTAGGAGGCCGAGTTTGAGGTCAACGGTCATACTACTTGCCGTTAGTCTTGAGGACGCGCAAATTCACGTGTCGTTCACGAACCCAGCAATGGCAGCGGCACTGAGGTTGGTGCGGTCCATCAGACTGATGCAGTAGAGCACTCCCACGGTTACGACGAGGCGTCGGTCGATGCGATGGATAATTTTCTTCTGCTCGCGCTCGCTGAACTCGCACTCGTATCCGGAGCCGTCCTGGGAGCCGTCGACGTTCTCCCTAAGAGAGACGGGTCTCTTCTCGAACGCGTCGTCGTCACGCATGACAGCCACTTGGTTGGCCATTGTTGGGGCGCGTAGGGTTGATGTTGACCTCTAGGGCAGTAGGTGGTGAAGGTGGGTTGTCCGGGTAGGAGCACGGAAGTCGCACACGATAGACGCGTTATATGTCAAAAAGCACCTGCCGTTTGCCTCCCCGCCTGGACGCTGCCAAGTGAAGTGGGCGTGTTGGGAAGGCATCCCGCAGGCAAAGTACCGAGGCTCGGGGATTCACCACTCATTCATCCAGCGTGTGGATACTCATCGAGGACGATACGACGCCATCAGCAGCAAAGCAGGCCACCCGCGGGAAGGAGCGAAAACGCGAAGGCGATGAAAGCTGGGGAGAGGCTTGGCGTGTGGAGACCCCGCATGCTAGCGAAAACCGCCGTGGCTTCCGGATCCACTGACACGCCAGATGACCTGCGAGCGAAGCCTTCCCACGAGCCGGCCGCCCGTTCTTATCGTCCGCCATGGCAAAGCTACTTCTAGGGACGAGAGCTGAAGATTCGGCATGGCCCGACTGGCGTGCTTTTCTTTGTTCGACCTCACGTTGTGCGACCCAGCTATCAAGCGATCAGCGTCACAACGTTTCAACGACACGCGCGGGGTAAGTGGGCACGTTCCTGACGCTGGAGGAACTCCACATGGACACATTCCACCTTTCAGGCTTGCCCCAGGTGGGAGACTGCTCCGACCTGCTTTGCGGCGTGTGTGGTTCGAGCCGCATTGAAGCTTGGGGCATTGGCACTGATGTCCCGTTCCAAGCCTCCGGCGCCTTGGCAGGCTGTTGTCGGCGTCATTCTGATCATTCTCGCGATGCTTGATGCTGAGGAAGATTTCCTTTGCAGACGCTTGCGGCACGCCTACCTCCGCGGGGGACCCGGTAGCCAGCGGCTTGGACTGCGGCGCAAATCCAGGAGTCTCACATTGTATCAGCTCAGCAGAACTGCTCCAGCTTTTGCAGGAACATCGAATCTGGTACTGTATTACAAAGCCGCGAATGTGTGGGGCTTTGGCGAGGAAACGACGCCGCATGTAATGCTCTACACCCGAAAGCGAAACCTTCAACACATCGACTCGCTAATTGACGGTGCCTCTAGTCTAGACCAGCAGGCTCCACCAATCTTGTCCCGAACCTGCCATCATCACAAGCGCTCGCTTATGACTCCTTCAGTATCCGTCTCTGGGCCCGACAGCAAGGGATGCTGTGCATGTGTATACTGTTGCGCAGCATCATAGACGTGGCATGATCACACCCCTCGGTATCTACCCTCTGCACTGGTTCGTTCCACTTTCGCGTGTCTAATTAAAGCAAGGGATGTTCTTGTTAATTGATCGACCCGGATGCTTATTGAAAGTATAAACCCCAATCATGGTTGTAGATTGAGAGAATACGCTACGCACCTAGAAATACCAGTTTTCCTGTGTCTAGGACATGCGTTTCTTCCTTTCCATATCGGTTCACCAGTCATTGGGAACCAGATCTCATGCACCCATAACCAGGAGCTCGGAACACGACGATCGTTGCATAGTAACCCGGTGCTTGGGAGCCTAATCGGTAACCTTCCCAAGACTCTGGCTTCCTCACAAACTCTCCAATCAGCGTTGAGTTCCTACTTGAATGACCGAGGCAACTATGAATTCGACTTTCCAAGCCGACGACACTGAGATCTCAGCTTCGTAGATGCAGCCATCAGGCGTGCCGCGACCGCAATGTTGTGTGGCTTCTTAGTCCTCAACACCACCATACCTTGGTAACTCGTATGCCGTCACCAATCGCGGCGCATGTATGGAAAGAACCGAGGCATTTACGACGTGACCGCGTGGCATCTCAACACTTCCCGCGAGGCATCTGAACATGAACACAATTTCAAGGACCGCATTTACACCATCGAAATTGGAAGCGCGCGATTCTACCAATGAGCTGGCTTAGAACCAAACAAGTTCCGAGGCAACGCGCCGTCAGATCCAACGGCCAAGGAACGCCGTACACATCGGCACAAGCCACAAAAATTGCGGTTGGCGGATAGATGGGCTTAGACATGGGCAAGAAAAGTATTCGGCTTCGCTTTATATAATGAAAGTGTGAGATTGCTAAAACAACCTTTCTCTAGTTTTACATTACGAGTAACAGCTCTTGCATATAACAAAGTACGAAGTTAGCACTACTATACAACTAACGTCTCGCTGCTCTTACTATTCTTAACTTAATATATACTAGTTCTACAAACTTTGCAACTATAACTACTACTACTACTAAGTCTATTCTAGCTTATTCTAACTTTAATATTTAAGTATATAAGCTATTTTTTTTTTATAAAGTAAAACTATAGTTTAGTTTAGTTAATAGTTTCTTAAGTATATTTTTATAAACTATAAAGCTCTTTTAGCTATATTATAGTTATATAAGTAGTAGTAAGTATAAAAGTAATATACTAAACTAATCTTTTTTTTTTCTATTTATTATATTACTTAGTTATAACTTTTTTTTTTTTTACAGTGCCTTATACCTAATTTTGTAGACTCTATTTAGTAAAAAAATGTTAAAAAACGCCTAGCTACTATCTTAGAATAGCTAGAAGATTTTAAGATTTTAAGATATTTAGTGTATATTACTATTAGCACTAATACTTAACTATAACTATATATATTAATATACTTTTTTTACGTAGTAGTTAAGAACTATATAATATAGTAGTAATAGAAATACTACACTAGGCCTTATAGTATCTATTCTTTAATAACTATAACGTAATAACTATTTTATAGTCTAGGTCTTAATAAGAGTTATAGTAGTCTATTATAGCTACTATCTAATAAATAGTATCTTACTATATAAGGTAACCTATAAATACTATATTCTTACTATTTTAGCTCTTTTTATCTTTATAAAGTATCTTAGCTAAGATATTTTTTTATAAAAGTATAGCTTTTTATAGAGCTAGAGAAAGAAGTAAATTTATTATTTCTTTTACTTTATATACCTAGTTATAGATAATAATATAGTAGATAATTAGTAGTATCTGTAACAGTTCCGGGCCTAGAGCCCTATTAGCCTAACGTTAGGCTGACGCCTCTACAATGTATATTTACCCCTAACAGCTTCTTCTAAAGCTCTCTACTGCAATAACTTTGTTACCTCTACATACCTTAATTATCTAATCTTTGTAAGACTCTTACACGTTATTGTAGTTACTACTACAACTACTAACTAAGCAACGCGACTTAAGAGAGCGCGCGCCACTAACAAGTTATAGCCTTGCAGAAGATTCTAGACTCTCTACATTCTAACATCTTAGAATTCTCTATGCAGGACGCTAATTGCGCGCAGCGCTACAATACTCTAGAGACTCTAGTTCTAGGCTAAGCTTCTATTGTCCCCCGCTACGCGCAGAACACTACCGCTACTCTTAACCGCGCCCGCCTAATATTTAGTGTTAGCGGCAGCAGCGGCAGCGGTAACACCTAGACCTAAGACTCCGAACAGTTGTCTTACACTGTAGGACACTTCTTTATAACAGCGCTCTTACAGGCGTCTTTCTCTATCTTTGCAGCGCCGCGCAGTGTTAGCAGCCTACAGCAATTGCTAGGCACTAACAACCTACGTTAAGACTCTGCGCAACATGTACTAGAACAGTTCCTGTTCTTTAGCGACAACAAGTTCGCCCGCGCTAACGCTAACAGCTCTTAGCTCTCTAACAACTATAATCTCTAGATCTCTAACAACTCTAATGCGGGCAGTAACCCTTCTACTATAATTACACACCGTAAGAAGAAGATAGTCGCCTTTAATCCTGCTAACCTGCGCTATCTATTAATAAGCGCTGCGCGTTGCTTGTCTCGCTAGCCTTGCCTTAATAATAACAACAACAACCTAGAAGGTGCTTAGCATAGTTCTCGCCCTTTAGGTTTCTGCGACGTCTTACCTACTAGCGAACCTAAGCTACCTAAGCGCCTATACTACGAGCGACAGCCTTCTAAGTTCTACGTTCTTCTGCTTAAAGACAACTCTACTGCATTTAAGATCTAGAAGACTAACGTTAATAGCTACGCTACCTGTAAGAATAGGCTAGTAAAGCTTACTAACCTTAAAGACGTTAGCGCCGCTAACGCTAACAACTACATCGCGTTTGTTAGCAACATTATAGACTAGCTTTAGGCTATAAAGTAGGACCTTAATAATAAGCAACAGCGCGCGGACTTCCTTAGTAAGTAGTGCCTTAAACACATTAGGCTTATAAAATCTCTACAAGAGCAGCTCTAAGAATTACAAGACACTATAGCAGGCTATAAGAGCGATTTTACTAACGCCTAGTCTATTGCTAATACTCTCTACAAACAACTAAGCAAGTCTAACTACTGCGGCGTATAACAGAGAGAATAGTTGCGAGATGTAATAGAAGCTCTTTACTGTAATAACTAAGACCTTTACTGCGTTAAAGACAAGCTTAAGATTATAACGTAGAACAAGAAGTTCTATAAGGCAAAGTACTGCTAGGAGTTTAACGCTCTAGTTGTAGCTAAGGACTTCTTGTCTACTACCTACAACACTATTAAGAAACTAGAGAAGCGTCTTAAGAAAGCGGAAGCCGCTCTAAAGCGCAAGTCTGCCTACTAGGCCTGCGCTAGCTCTACCCCGCTAGACTACTTCTTAGACAACAACGCTAGCGACGACAGCACTAGCGGCTCTATTAGCGGTCTAGCTAGCAGTTCTAATAGGCCTCTAGGCGGTCGCGACAACGCCAAGGGTCCTAGCGCCTACAACTAGAGTCCGCGCTGCTATCGCTCTAAGAAACCTAAACCTAAAGTCTTTTCTAGCGTTAACACTACTAAGTCTAACTATACTAAGTAGAAGATAGACATTATTAACTAGTTCAAAGAGTACTTGTACAACTTCGCTTCTAAAGCTAAGAAGCTAAGCTATCTCCGCTAGAAGACTAAGAATAGAGCGTTTAGCAACATCTAAGATAGCTTCTTTAACAACAGAGTTAGCTTTACTTACAGCAATAAGGTGTAGGCTATTC